GTATTTTATAGTTTTCTTTATAAAAGGTCTTTTGTATCTTTGGTTAGGTTTATTCCCAAATATCTCAATTTGTGGTTGGCTCTTGTAGATAATATTGCTTTCTTCCCTTATGTTTTCTTTGTTACTGTAGAGGAATCCCACTGATTTTTGTATGTTGATCTTGTTTCCTGCCACTCTATTAAATTTGTCTACCAGGTTTAACAGGATTTTTGTTGAGTCCTTGGAGTTTTTTGTGTACACTATCATATTGTCCACATATAGTGATATTTTTACCACCTCTTAGGTGATCTCAGATTTGACGAAACTTAGAAGGTCTAGCCTATAGCAAAATTTCTCAATTTCTTCCTCTTTGGCTCTAGATGCTGGAGCGTATTATTTGAATAATAGTTATGTTAACAGGTCTTCCTTGTATGCATTTGGATAATACCCTAGCACTCATAAAATTGTATTTCACAATGAGACTTGAAATTGGCCTTTTTATTATGAATATAAAACCATTCTTCTTCTGTTTTTCATTCCCAGCATGTTTTATCATATGTTTACCTGATTCAAAGTGGCCAAAGCTGGTCCATCTCATCTCACTAATGCCTAGTATGTTGATGTTCATGTGTTCCATTTCATATTCTACAATTTCCAGTTTCAGTTCCCAATGTTCAAGCTATGTACATTCCATATTCCAATTATTGAACAATGCTTGTCACTATTCTTCCTTATTTCAACTAATATCCAATCTGGGCTCTACTACTACATTATTATAACTATTTGCATTCCTCTAGTGTACATAGGGTTTTCAAAGGCCTCTTATTTAAGTGGATGGCCAATCTTGCTTTTTATTCCATTTTAGTATGGGAGCTCTATTAAAACTTGTCCACCATGCGTAACCCTTATGGAATTTGACACATAAGTGGCACAGCTTTCATTATCACAGTAAACCACAAATTATCTCAGTACAGAAAACTGACAGACAAGCACTGTACCAAATTTTACCAAAATTTTGAAATTTATCATACATGCAATAAAGAGGTGTTAATAATAATTGGTGACTGGAATGCTACAGTTGGAATCAAGGAAGAAGAAATAGTAGTTGGAAAGTATGGGCTTGGTGATAGAGATTAATCTGGAAACTAAATTTTATATTTTAAATTATTTATTCATTGCAAATATATTTTTTTAAAAAACCACAAATGGCAATTGTACGCATGGATCTCACCTGATGGGGTGCATAGAAATTAGATTGACAATATCTGTGGAAAAAAATCACTGAAGGAGCTCAATATCCGCAGTCAAAACTAGACCAGGGATGGACTGTGGGCCAGATAATTAATTACTCAAATTGAGGATGAAGAAAATTAAAATAAGTCCACAAGAACCAAGATATGATCTTGAATCTATTCCATCTGAATTTCAAGATCATTTTAGGAATAGGTTTGAGGCAATGAACAAAACCGGATGAGTTGTGGGATGATGTAAGGAATTCATGAAGAGAGCAAAAGACCATTACAAGGACAGAGGAGAAAGAAAAACCAAAATATATGTAAGAAGAGACTCTGAAAATTACTCTATAGTATGGAGAAGCCAAAACAAAGAGAAAACATACTGAAATAAAGGAACTGAACAGAACGTTTCAAAGGGCAGCTTGAGCAAACAAAGCAAAGTTTATAATGGAATGTACAGAGAGATGGAATTGGAGAATAAAAAGAAAAGAATCTACTCTGCATTTCTTAAGCTGAGAAAACTGAAAAACAATTTAAACTTCAAGTTTCAATATTGAAAGATACTATGGTAAATATATAGAATGACCCAGAAAGCATCAAAAGAAGATAGACTACACAGAATCACTGTACAGGAAGGAATGGACTGACTTGGAAAAATTTCAGGAAGTTCTGTATAAGCAGGAGCCAATTGTAATGAAAGAGAAAGCGGAAGCTGCACTGAAGGCACTGGCAAAAAAGAAAACCCCAGGAAACGATGGGATAGCAATTGACTTGTTTCAATTAACAGATGCAGCCTTGGATACACTCACTAGTCTATGCCAGAAAATTTGGATGTCAGCTATCTGGCCGGTAGATTGGAAGAAGTTCATATTTGTTCCCATTCCCAAGAAAGGTGATGAAACAGAATATGGAAACTAACTAGCAATATCATTAATTTTGCATGCAAGCAAAATACTGCTGAAGGTCATTAAAAAATGCCTAGAACAGTACATAGGTAAGGAATTGCCAGAAGTTCAAGCAGGATTTAGATGAGGTTGTGTGTGGTACCAGGGATATCATTGCTGATTTCAGATGGATTCTGGCTGAAAATAAGAAATACTAGAAGAATGTCTATTTATGCTTTATTGACTATGCAAAAGTATTTGACTACATTGATCATAACAAGTTGTGGCTGACATTGAGAAAAATGAGCACTTGACTGTGCTCATGTAAACCTATACCTGGACCTGGAGGCTGTTGTGTGAAGAAAGCAGGGAAACACTGTGTGGTTTAAAATTAAGAAGGGAGTGAATTAAAATTGTATTTTCTCTCCATACCTATTCAATCTGTATGCTGAGCAAATTATTTGAGAAGCTGGACTCTATAAAGAGGAATATGGCATCAGTATCAGAGAGAGACTCATTAATAACCTGTTTTATGCAGATGACACCGAAGGTCAAGAAATGCAGCCTTCAATATGCATTGCATCTCAATGTCAAGAAAGCAAAGATTTTACCACGGACTGATAAGCAACATCATGGTGGATGGAGAAGAGATTGAAACTATCTACTTCATTTTATTTCAATCCATGGTTAACACCCTTGGTATCAGCAGTTAGAAAATCAGGAGATGTATTGCACTGGGAAAGTCTGTAGTTAAGAATCTCTCCAGATGGTTAAGAAATAATGTCAGCTTGAGGACTGAGGTATGTCTGGTTTAGTCCATTAGACTAAACCATTTTCTATGTATCTTTCTAATCACTTTCTATGCATCTGAGAGCTGGGCAATGAATAGGGAAGACAGAATTGATGCCTTTGAGTTGTGGTGTGGGAGAAGAGCACTGAAGATGAAGAGCGTGGATGGCCAAAAGAACAAATAAATATGTTTTGGAGAGGATGTAGCTGAAGTGCTCTTTGGAGGCAAGGAGGATGAAGCTTCACCTCACATACTTGGGATACGTTGCTAGAAAGGGTTATTTCTTGGAGATGGACATAATTCTCAGTTGGACAGAGGGTCAGCAAAGGAGAGAAAGACCCATAACCAAGTGGGTTGACAAGGTGACCCGTACAATAGGCTTTAGTGTGTCAGGAAGTGTGAAGACAGCACAAGATAGAACAAGGTTCAGATCTGTTGTTCATAGGGTCGCTATGAGTCATACTTGACTCAACAGCACCTAAGAACAAAAACCCAGCATAGTATAGTCTGGCAAATACAGCCAAATGTGTCCAAGTAGGAGAGGATAGCATAAATGAGCGAGACTTTCTAAAGATTAAGTCCCTGTGTGAATAAAAATTTTTTTCCAGTACGGTGAAAAGAAAATCTGTTTACTCGGCGGGGGGGGGGGGGGGCAACAAACCCAAAACATTTGACAATGAAATACCAGACAAAGAAAAGATCTCATAAAGAAAGTTTACGGGATCTCCTCCCATGTGATTAAATGCCACTGAAAACCTGCCAGAGGGTCAGCTATGGGTCAGTTCTAGTATGATGGTAAATAACAACAAGAAAAAAAACTATAACCCAATTACAAAATGAGTAAAAAACATGAAAAGATTCCTTTTATAGGAAGACATCCAGCTTGCCTGCAAACATATCAAGAAATACTTAAAATCACTGCCAATAAGAGTGATGCAAATCAAAACCAAAATGTGATATCATCTCACTCCAGTAGCAGTAGCAAAGTTTAACAGGACAGCAAGTAATAAATGTTGGAGAGGACATAGTGATGTTGAAATTCTCATACACTGTTGATGGGATCGTAAAATGGTACAATTTCTCTGAAGGCAATTTCACATTTCCTCGAAAAGCTAGAAATAGACATTCCATATAACCCAGCTATTCCACTGCTAGGAATATACCTTAAGGAAAAAGAAATAAGATGCAATTGGAAATTTTTATACCTATGTTCACAGCAGCCCTATTAACAATAGCAAGAACATGGAAACAGCCCAAATGTTCATCAATAAGTGATTGAATTGAGAATCTATGGTACATTGACATGAGTGAGAACTATGTAGCATTCAGGAGCAACAATTGAAAAAAAACTCCAAAACCCAAACCCATACTATATAACATGAGAGAGGCTCAAGAGCATTATGCTGTGTAACAAATTCAGTCTCATAAGGACAAATACTGCATAAGACTATGATTGTGAATATAGAAGGATAAGTAGTAGGATGTATATAATAATCCAAACAGGTAAGTGGGATATGAGAGAGGGCTAAGGGTGGTGAGGGAAGAAAGTAAAAGGTCACAGAGTTTGTGGGTGGAGGAAAGGGTAAAGATATTAGGAAAGATCCAGTGGTAGAAAAGACATGGTAATAGTGGGCATAAAGAATTATGATTGATTTTGAAAAACACAATGTGTGGGAATGATAATATGAAACACAATATGAATGAAGAAATGTGTGAAACACTATGTATACAAATTCTGCATGTAAACCATATAAAATAAAAATAATTTAAAAAATACTTTTGCAAAGACAATATAAACTTTATTTAAATGTTCTGCTATATTGTAAGTCCTAAGAACCCTAGCTTCCATTTTTACTGGTTTCACCATCTTGTTCTATTAGATTATTTATAGAATTTTAGGAATACTATCTGTCTTATACTCTGACAGTGTTGAAAATGTTCTCAAATTCTTAAGCCATTCTAAGAGACCATTTTTAAAGTTTTTAAAAATCAAAATGAAGTTATCAAAGGTATACCAGTATTGTTAAGCCACTACTAAAATAAAATTGCTTCAATTTTCATCATTATCACTAGAATAGAGATAATGAATTTGACTGCAGTTTTAAGACTTACCCTTGGAAACGTTGTAAATCTGTCCAGTTCTTCGACAAAGCAGAACATCTGCAAACTAATTGCTGACATAACGATCAAGAGGCTGGCAGTGAACACGACCAAACTCCCAAGCTTTTTTCCAGGGCCAAATATCTTGTATACAAAATCTTCTAACGCAGGTGAAATCTTAATAAGCCGAACTACTCGAAGAACCTGTTATGGGAAAGGAAAATATAGATGTTTGAGCACTCATCAACCCTGAATTACTAGTATATATGTTCATATAAAATTATTTTTATGATTTTATCACTGCTAATTAATTGCAACATGTAGCTACCCTATAGTAGAGAGGAGAGTTTTACCATAAAGGTTCCCAAAATGCAAATCTTTCTGAAAGCAGGCACTACATTTTTTTTTCTGTAGAATTCACTCATTGTCCTGAAGTCGGTTGAGGAGGCTTTACTTTGCATAGGAGGAGGTTGCCTATCTCTAGTGGGGAGGTTGCCTATCTCTAGTGGAGTTGCTGGTGGCTTTGAATGGTCAAAGAGGCTCTACCTCTCTGGTTAACAGAACAACTCCTTACAGATTGCTCCACCAGAACTAACTCAACTCAACTCATTGCCTTCTAGTTGGAACTAATTAACTCATAGCTGACTCCCCATCCGGTTTTATCAGGCTGTAAATGGTACTGAAAGAGATTGCTCAGCTTTCTCTCATAGAAAGCTGATGGATTTGAATCACCTGCCTTTGGGTTGGCAGTACAACTCCCTACCCAGCAGGTCCCTAGAGCTCCTTTTTACCTGTGGAGTAAGCTTTATATTGAGTTGGCAACATTTTTCTTTTAAGCGAAGCACTTAACCACTGTACCCCACAGTTCTTTTATCGTTGTTGTTAGGTGGTAATGAGTTGGCTCTGAATCATAGTCTTATGTACAACAGGTGGAAACCCTGCCTGGTCCAAAACCATTCTAGTCATCTCTGCTGGATGTAAGCCCATTGGTACAGTCACTCTGTCAATCCATGTCATGAAGGCTCTCTTTTTCACTTACCTTCCTATTTGCAAAGTCAAATGTTGTTTTTAAGGAACTATCTCCTGAGAAAGGTTTTCAAACTATATGAGACCACATCTCACCATTCCTTCCTCTAAGGAGTACTTTGGTTGCATTTTGTCATGCTTTTGTCGTTATAAGATGTTATCGTGTTCACTACAACACCTAATGACCCTATGAACAAGAGATTGTAACCTTGCCTTACTTTACATTACCCTCACTATCTTCACCATGTTGAAGGCCATTGTTGCAATCACTGTGTCAATCTATCTTATTGAAGGTCTTTCTCTGTTTTACTGATCTTCTCCTTTTCTCAGAATGATGTTTATGTCAAAGTACTTGACATAAACACATTTTGGTTCATGCATTTACAGACTAAAAATTGTTATGTATTAATTAAATATCTGTCTAGCTGAGTGCCTCAAATTAAATAAAGAAATGTTTCTAAGTGTTTTAACATAAAATGTGAAATTCAATGTAATATTTACTATATATCCAGTTGAAATTAAAATATCATTCTCTGCACACTAATGTCTATTGCTGCTTTGTTCACAATAGCAAATAGTTGGAAATAACCCAAGTACCCATCAACAAACGAATGGATAGAGAAGCTCTGGTATATTCACATAATGGAATACTACACTGCATTGAAAATCAAGGGACTCATGAAATATTATACAAAATGGGTGACCCTGGAGGACATTACGCTGAGTGAAATATCTCAGTCACAAAAGGACAAAATACATAGTGCCACTGTTGTAAAACAGGACTGACATCAGGGTTGGGAGAACCTTAGAAAGGAAGGGGTAAAATATACTTCATTAGAATAGATGAGGAAGGGAACTGTTTAAAAGGAGTATATGATTAGGTATTATTTTCATGACAAGATTCCAGAAAAAAAAAGCATAGTAAAGTGGACTGTGGATGTGTGTGTGTGTGTGTGTGTGTGTGTGTGTGTGTGTGTATGTTTGTGTGGTGTTATATAACAATAAAAGATTTTTTTTTTCTTTTCAAAGAGAAAAGTGAACTGGGGAGAGGGATGGACAGGGAGGAAAATGTGCAACAATGAGTGAATGAGAAAAAAAATGGGAAGAATATGCTGTAAAAAATATGTTCCATTAAAAAATAAAGATATATCTCATCCAGGCAAAAATATATTTTCTCATATTAAAATATTTAATATTAGTTATATTCATTAGATTGTAAATTATAACTTCTTAATTATATTAATAAAACAAGCAAATGCAAAACAATTGGAAAACTTCTATAAAAAGCTTTTCTTGTAGCTGACGCAATTATTGCAAAGTCATTTTCTAATTATTCCTTTTAATAAGAAAATGGTAAAATTTAAAAAAAGGTTTTAAATCAGTGATACAAGTTGCTTTTCTAGCTTCATTTGCAATTAGATATGACCATGTGAAGTTCAGAAAAATAGGATGTGAAAAAAAAGATAGTAATTAAATTGTTCCCATTTTATACTGAATAAACTTCAACTAGAGCCCAAGTAGAAGTCTTGTATAGAAGAGATAGATCTAAGGCAACTCAGCAGTCTAGTTTCTTGGATGACCATGTGGAGAAGAACTATCTCTTCTCTGCTCACTCATTAAGCATTAGTCTTTGTTAATTTGTGCCATCAATTCACCTGCAACTCATAGAGACCCTATGTACAACAGCTCTGAAGCCTGCCCTGTCCTGAGACAGTCTCACTGACTCTTACACACCTACGCCCATTGCCCTAGTTATTATATAAATCCATCTCATTAAAGGTCTTCCTCTCCTGCCTTCTCCCTCCACCCTTCTAAGCATGATATCCTCCAAGGATCAGTCCCTTCTGGACACTGGACACAAAGCAAGATGAAGCTTCAGTATCCTAGTCTCCAAGAAAAAACTTAGTTTCACACTTTCCAAAGCATACCTATTTTGTTTTCTTGGTGATCCAAGTAGTATGTTCAGGTGGTATCTTCAAGACTTTTCTCTAGCACCGCAACTCAAAAGCATCAATTCTTTGTTTGTCATCCTGAGTCATTGTCCAGCTTTCTGATAGCAAGTAATTGCAAAGACCATGAACTGGATCAGGTGCACTTTAGTCTCTAGACTGACATAATTGCTTCTCAGTACTCTGGAAAGGTCTCTGACAACAAATTTACCTAATGCAATTTGTCTTATGATTTCCTGACTTCTGGTGCCAAGAGTGCTGATTGTGGAGCCGAGCAAGCTGTAATTGTTAACAACTTCAATCTCTTCTCCATCTATCACAGTGATCACAATTGACCCAGTGCTGAACGCCTTTGTCTTCCTCATGTTGAGTTTCAATCCAACACTATAGTCCTTGAACTTCTGCAGGAAGAGCTTCAGGTCCTCCTCAGTTTCAGCAAACAAGGTTGTATCATCTGTATAATATAGGTTTTTGATGAGTCTTCTTCCAATCTTGATGCCACATTCCTCCTCATAAAGCCCAGCTTCCTGAATTATCTGTTCTGCATACAGATTGAAAAGGTATGGAGACAGGATGCATCCCTGACACACTCCTTTCCTGATTTTGAACCATTCAGTGTTTCCCTGCTCTGTTCTGAGAACTGCTTCCTGGTCCAGTTACAGGTTTTGCGTAAGCACAATCAAATGTTCTGGGATTCCCATTTTCCTCAAGGTTAACCATAATTTGTTGTGATCCACACAGTCAAATGCTTTTGTATAGTTAAGGAAACACAGATAGATATTTCTTTGATACTTTTTGCTTTCTGCGAAGATTCTTTAAACATTGGTGATAAATGTCTCTTAGGTCATGACCTCTTCTAAGCCTAGATTGTATTTTTGGTGGTTCTCTGTTAATGTACTATTCCAGTCATTTCTGGACAATCTTCAGCAGGATTTTACTAGCATGTGATATTAGTGATATTTTATAATTTTCACACTCTGTCAGGTCACTTTTTCTTTTTTTGGAATGGGAAGAAATATGGATCTCTTCCAGTCAGTTGGCCAAGTAGTTGTCCTCCAGATTTCTTGGAACAAACCGGTGAGCTCACCAAGCATTAGAGAGAAACAAATATCTATCTCAAACTAATATAGTCACCACTGTGTTTGCCATACTGTGTTGCTGTTATGCTCAAGGCCATTCCACTCATATATCAAATACTACAAAGTCATTCATGACTGACATATTTGAGTGGAGCTTCTAGACTAAGAAGGTTTAAGCAACAGGAGTAGCCATCTACTTATGAAATAATCCTCAAGAAGCCTGTTAATAATGTAAAACTATTGTTTTGTATAATGCAGGAAGATAAGCCCGTCAGGTTAAAAGGCACCAACTGGTGAAGAGTTGGCTCCTTTGGATATATATTAATGAAATGATAAAACAAAGCTTTCACCCAATAAAGGACCTTCACTTGCTGCTGTGGCATGACTCAAAATGAGAACCAGCTGAAAACGTGCCTAAATAATTGGAGCATGTATTGCAAAAAGTATGAATTTGAAAAACTGCAAGTTGTGAAACAATGAAACGGATCACATAAAGATTGATATTCTCAGTCACAAAAGGACAAATACTCTATAGTGCCACTGTTGTAGAACGGGACTGTTATTAGGTTGGGTGAGGGGAGACTGAGAAAGATGGGATAAATTATGTATACTGCATTGAAACAGGAGAGAGAATTGCTTAAAAGGTATATATGATTAGGTATTATTGTCATAACATGAGTCCAAAATGAAGGGTGCATAGTGGAGTGGACTTGGGGGAATGAACTGAAGGGGAAGGATGGACAGGGAGAAAAGTGCAACAATAAATGAATGGAAATACAAAATCTCTGTAAATTTTCACTAAATTAATAATCATAATAAAATTGATACTTTATGCAATAGTGAGCTGAGATGCCCTGTACTAGCCATTTCAAATCAGGTAATTATATGTTCTACCAGGAAAGGAATGACAAATTGAAAAAAGTAATAATGTAACAATATTGTAAAAAAGAGCATTTTAAGATCTATCCTGAAGTATAGCGCTGTTAGGAACAATAGACAGAAGACCAGATACAACTATGATTCAAATATAAACACCAACCACCAAAGACAAGGTGAAGAAATTTAGAATATCTACCTGGCTACCTGACTGGAAGAGATTTGTATTTATTCCCATTCCTAAAAACAATGACTTAATAGATTGTGAAAATTA